ATTCCACTATCTATTCCAAACCCACTGACAATGGGGAAAATTAAACTGAAGCAAAGAAATCTATGGGACAATGATCGGTACATTCCCAGCCCAGGATTTCAAGGAAATATTTACTGAAGGAACATGCAGGCAGCCATTGCTGACCTGTTGCTAAATTCCATGCTGATCTAATGGCTTCAATATGTTTTGTGTCAATTACCTGACGTCTGCTGTATGCTTTCTCTGGGTCAATGTTTAAAATTACTGAAACCAGGGGCGGAACTTAAGTTTTCCTAACAATGTACTGATCTTAGTGCAGATCAGTTAAGTGGCACAAGAATTACTTGCTTCATGTCCCTTTGGACATTCCTGAATATCTGTGTCTTTTTATGGTACCCATACCACAGTAACAGCCAACATATGCCTAGCAGCTTTCACCCTCCACAAGAAAAGCATTGCAGGATTTCCATTGACCTCCTTTTAAAGCAACAGAAATGATAAGATAAATTGCCATTTCTGTTTTAATAATAGCAGCTTCTACTAAATAGTCAAGTGACCAAACAGGTAGAGCAGAACATATTCACTATAAAAAAAATCAGTGTAAGTTCACTCAAGTACAAATTGGCTGAAATGTGTAAAGCCGTGAGCATTAAGCAGGCTTATGTGAATCACTTAAATGACCCACAGCATATAAATTAAATGCTGATAATTTGGATAGGGTAAATGTGAGTACATTAGGCACCAAGTTTCTTCCTTCCAAAGTCTAAAATGCATACAAAACATGACTTACATATGATAAATGAAGGCAAAAATTCAAATGTACACGGTGAATGAAAAATCAAGGATATATAAGTACCAGTAATAACTAGGAAATATTAAGCCATCGGCAAAACATAATTTTTATGTTATTTTCCAACACATTACCAGACTGTGCAGTTCAACAGACTGCTCTGCTCTAACTATGTTAAGTAATAAACAACAAGACCATATTTTAGTGGATAATGTGTGGGTTGGCAAGCAAACTGGATTCAGGTACATTTCGTAAGCCCCGGCCCAAAGCCAGACAGGTACTAGCTATGTAGAAGAATGGCTGAAAAGACAGAAATTCCATACAACACATATAATCTATTATGACAGATGTAGGAAAGTCATAACTGACAATGGAATAATCATTTTCACTTTTCTGAACCTGCTCTGGTGAATTAAGATGGCAAAAGAATGATTTATGTGAACACTTTACTTTACTGCACAGGAAATATAGGCTACTAATGGTTTAAAATGTATTATGATTTTTTTTAAAGTGCACCTGTCATTTTGCAGCAGACATAAGCTGCCGAGAAAGTGGAAAGGAAAATGAATTTTTTTTCTCAATTGTGAAAGTTTATTTTTACCCTGTCAAACCAAACATATAATAAAAACTGAATATAAGACACCTTCTCCCTGACTGAACTAGTGAAAAGTCACACGATCGCTGTTTTTTGGGTGATTCTGTCCCTGGCAAGTTTTTACAAGTGAAAACTGAAAACTGTTGATTGCACAAGTATTTATTTTCTTTACTGTGAAAACCACTAACTAAACTCTGGTAAGACTAGTGGCTGATAGAAGCCATGTAATTATCGGAATGGTGTCCAGCAGTGTGCAAATAAAGTGTCACATGATGTATTAATAATAATAATATTAATACTAATGATAATCATACACCTGTTTCTAAAAGGCCCCAGATTTTGTTAGAGAAAACAAAACAGCATTATAATGATCAAAAGGCTATCAATAAATATCCAGGATAAAGTTCTAGAGAAACTCTTTGAGAACCAAAACAAAACAAAAGTTTTTGGAGACTGCCTCAAATTTTCTAGAACTTAAGTACACATGTATGGTTGGAATCCTGATAGGCATGTACAGATCAAGTCATCACCTGGATCATACAAGGCACACATAGAAAACCAAATTTTGACAGAATATTTTTAGTAATTAAACACCTCTTTGAAAGAAAACCTGTATTAGAGGGAAAAAACTAGCGCCCACTCATTATGTGTAGAAGGCTTTCTTTACTACCCTTCCTTGCACTGGTTCACTGCTCTGATCTGTGCTGTGTTGCTCCAGTGAGAATCCCTGTACTTCTGTGTATAGGGTATACTGTATGTTCATGCTCCTTGTACCCTTCCATAAATCAGGCCTAGTTCACTCCTAGCATAGTGTCGCAGCTGAATAAAATCCCATTAATTCCTATGTTCCCTGTTGATACCTGATCATTTTTCGCAAAAAGCAAAACACCTGTCACTGGAAACGTTTTGCCCCATAGACTCAACAAGAAATAATTATTTGTATTCCTTTTTTGCACACATTTTATGCGTGTTTGTCCATTTACATAAATGTGCCACAATCTGCTTGCAAAAATGTGTGTCTTAATGCACATGCATAAAACGCGCACAAAAACTTGCCACAAAAAACATGCGTTTCTACGCCTAAAAACGCTGTCACCTAGGTGTGAATGGAGCTGTCAATGGCAAGTACCAACCACAGGATATAGTCAGTATTCCAATAGGATTTTTGCAGGGACTGCAACAAAATTAAGGAGGCTCCAATCAGGTAAATCTGATATACTATTTATGACTACTTTTATATGTACTATTTGCTGCTAGGTGATTCTAGAGTCTTCCAATGGAAACATTTGTGCAGTGTTTGATTTATTGCTCTCAGGATAGTATAATTTGATCTTCAGTTTTTTAGAGAACACAAACACATCTGAGTTAGAGAAAGGAACACACTCTGACCTTTTGTCTTCTCCTGTGATTTGTATGAAGTTTCCATTTTAAAGAAGTAGTCAAAAAGTGATCACTGTTGGGCTTTCTAATTAAAATATAGAAAGCCTAGCATGTTCTGCAAAACAAGTTTAAAAAATATAGATTGTGTACAAGTAAAAGGAAAAATATAAAAGATTACTGTATAAACAGGGAAACTATTTGGAAAAGATACAATTGACCCAATCATTGTAGTTTCCCTATGAAATTGTTTAATATATAGCTAACGTTTCTCCAGAACAATGGCATTCCTTTCACACCAAAAACCCTGACTTATGTAGTATAGTTAGTATAAAGCATGTTGACTTTAATTCACTGTTTACATTTTACACTGGATCTTTCTGCACAAAATAGGTAACACGGCAGCCCTTAGTAGAAACAGACCACCCTTCCTTAGGGCTCATGTCAATGGGCATTGTCTTCCTACATTTGACATGGGTTTGGAATGCATGTGAAACATGGGTTAGCAAAATCCTATTGATTTTAAAGGAGCAGTACACATGGAAGTCCAGGGGTTGCGTTTGACCTGCTTTGCATTGAGCTGCATATCTTTGGACGCAGTATGTCTTACTGAGGTGCTTTTAAACAGAAAACATTTGACAAAAAGGCCCATGAACCTATGTGTGACTTTATTTCACATTAAATGTTTTTTTTAATTGAATCATTTCTGTATATTGAGTCTCCTAGTCCTTCATTTGTTTTTCCTCCTGACACTAAGCCATGTCCCCTGTCATTCAACTATCATATGCCAAAGCCTATACTGACCTCTCACGTTCTGGCATTTAACAATTGAATAATAATGGATCAGGATAAATGTTGCATTGAGTGTAGCTTAGGAGGTGGTAAGAGCATGCCTAACTTTGAGAAAAAAAATGTGGGAATGGATGTCCCCTTTGAAAGATTTCCCCTCTATTCCTGTTCGTGGCAACTCAAACTTTTTATCGTAAGGTGACATTAGTGATCAGGACAATTACCGTAGAGAGAGTGAATCTCTCTAACAGGGACACCGACTGCAAAAAAACCCCAAACCTGACAGTAGTTTGAAGCCCCCACCAATCTATCAAAATCTAAAAAAAAGTTTTGCCTTTAGATACAGTTTAAGAATCAAAGGTAAAGTTCAGCCATCTATACTTCTGGATATACTTGTCATTTTGACACAAAGTTTTCCCTAAAAGCAAAAGCTCCATTTGCATTTTCTAATCAAATGTTATATCTGATTTTTTCAGGGTTGGGACAGGCATACTATATTATATAATAGGATGATAATTATAGTTGTTTAATTTTTGAGAAAGGGGCTGAATGGTTCACATGCTTACATCCTGTTTTCCATGTTGTTCATTTACTTTTCCTAATTTTCAACACTTATCACTAGCAATATGCTCAGACTTTCCAAAAACCTGTGTAAAAGATTGCAGGACATGATTGGCAGGTTAAAATTAACATATCTTCATTGTATTCAGCAAGCAAAGTGAACGTTCACTTTGCTAAGTGAACACTCTCTACAACTTAAGTAAATAAACCCCACTGAGTGGATTTATTCTTTATTATAGACTTGTGTTTGCATACTGTTCAACTGAAATGCACCGTACCTCACAACCTTACAAAGACACAATTTTAAATAAATATTTTAATTTTATTATTGACATTTACAAGAAGAAAAGGCATACTGATATGTTACAATTGTATCAAAATTTAAAAAATATGAATGTTACACAAGTAACAGATTTAACAGAAAAGCATTTTCTTGCTTTCCCTGAAAGTAAGAAAACTATACAGTATAGGAAAAACATCAGTATCAAAAACATACGTCAGGTAAAAGCACTTATAAAAAAAAATGTTCCACAGTACAAAGTATCACAAAAGTGATGTTTTGTTTGTTTTAATTTACAAATGTCTAAGTCAAAGTTTCAGGAAGATCTCAATTCAAGGGTTTTAAGAGCATTTTCTCAATTTTTGTTTTGCATTTGGAAATGTCATTACAAAAATATAGTTTGCCAAAGTCGTGAATGCAAATTTGAAATGCAGTTAATTTAAAAAAATTAACAAAAAATTTTTTACAAGTAAAAATGATCATAAGGTGCTAAACATAATGACCTTATTGTAATCCCTTTTTTGTGTTATTATTATTTTAATATCTATAAATTTGATTTTGTGCTATTGTGCAGTGGATATTCATAAAACAAATACAATGACAAACTTTACACCTTGTGGTAGTTTTCTTTTTCCAGAGGCAGCATCTTTTTTTCTCAAACATCACTATTTCTGCAGAGAAATTGTTCCAAAATTAATAAACTACATCTGGCTTACAAACATAATTGAGAAACATAACATTACAGTTACAACACTGAAAAAGATCACAACGAACCAGATTAAAGAAGGATTCTACTTAACTTTGCGCATGCTGGAAGTCAGGCTGTGTAGTGTTATACATGCAAGGAATACAGTACAGAACACAATTGCTTTAAATACATCTCTGTCCTTTCCAGCAGCAAAAAACATTATTATTTTAAAGTTGTCTTAAATAAAGAATGTCCACTGGCCAGTTCTTGAAATGGAGACGCTTACTTGTAAACAAACATATAATGTTTGACTGTCATAAGTTTTGTGCATCTTGACAATCCAGCTATATCATGTCTAAACGTATTGTTCTGTTTCTCCATCTTTGGAAACTGTCTTAGAGGTGTTTGCTCTTGCCTCTTCATTTGCTGATGCTTTCTCTGGAAGTGATGCCAGATCCTTAAAAACATCTACATAATGTCCAAAACCAGGACCCCAGTTCAAGAGATTGTCCCAGTTGAAATTACCAGCTTGCTGACTTAGCTTCATGGGCAATGTACTGTCTGCCGGTAGAGTGGCTGTTGGTGACTGGGCACCGGAAGGCCCACCTTCGCCTCTGCGGCCTTGATATCTCCGCGGCTTTATTCTAGCACCATAATTGTCTTCATCATCTGCATCTGACTCATTGACTTGAGTCAGTTTTGGCATTCTTGATGTGTACACCATAGGTTTGTCTCTGTCATATTCCATTTCTGAGCATGTAAAAGACTCATGTGAATCACTATCAGATGATGATTCTGGAGCTGGAATTCCATCTGCTGGATTCCTTACTCTGGATAGGGGCCTTTGGCAGTCCTCCTCTGATGAAGATCTCCCATGATCTGCACTACAGATGCTTGGGTTTCTTGGTCTTGGAGTGTTGAGTCTCTCCACCTCCTCTATTGAAAGACCAACAGGGGGTCCACTCTCCATAGGAATCTGCCCTATAGGTTGTTTAAGGCGACTTCCTGGTCTGGAGCCATGTCCCGCCATGGTCTGAGGACTTTTGCTTCTTCTACCAAGTCGGGTTGCATAATTAAAAATACCAGGCTGGCAAACATCATTATGCATTTCCAAAGATGAAAGATGAAGTTCCCGTGCTGGGCTACTTCGGTAAAATGTTGATGATTTTGAAAATGGTGCAGGACTATGACGAGATAAGGGGTTAGGTGGTGGACAGCCTGAATGTCCAAGTGTTGCTGTTCTAAGGCCCTGGCTATAGGATGGTTGATAGGTTAAACTGCTTGCTCCCAAAGGTAGTGGAGATTGTCTGGCAAAACCAAGAGGACTATGCCTTTGAATTGAGAATTTAGGAGTGTGGCTTCGAAACTGCTTATAGTGCTGAATTATATCTGCATCGGAAGGAGCAATACTGCTGGCATTGTCAATGTCATAGTGCTCTATTTCTGTTTCAGGCATGGCCAAAGGTGCACTAGGTATTATTTCTGTGCTGTGTGGTAAGTCTGTCTCATCATATATTAGGTATGGATTTTCCCTTTCAATTATATCTGGCTTAGGGTTTCCTTCAGGTTGCTTTCTAATAGTCATGTCATCACCATATGGTGGAATATTGTCAGGATCATCAAAAGCAACATTTTCGCTTCCCTTTTTCTTCTTTTCTTTGGGTTTCTTCTCTTCTTTTGGCACTTTATTTTTCCTTGCTCTACACTGATTACACAGAATCAAACTAAGGACCAACAGAGCAAGAATTGTAGCGCAGCTTCCAACAATTGCTGGAACTGCCCAAAGCGGTAGAGACAGATGCTCAGTTTGTGCGACAAGAGTACATACGTGTCCCCCATGTAATCCACTTTTGCATATGTTACCCTGAGGGCAAATGACACCAAGACAAGCTACAACAGTTTCACAAAGTTTTCCTGTATGTGTATCAGGACAAATGCAAGTAAATCCTGACTGGGTATGAGGTTCACAGCTTCCTCCATTTTGGCAAGGGCTTGAGGAGCAGTCTCCAGGTGGTACACAGGTGTATGCATGCCACTGATTAATGCACATTAAGTCCCCCCAGCATGGGTTACTGGCACAAATGTTAGGACCTCTGCATCCTAGTTTAGCTGATGATTCTGATTTAGATATGCGAACCATGTCATGTTTGCCGCTGAATGGTAGATTTTCATGGTTATACTTCACGTAAGCAATGCAGCCATCAAAACCTAAAACAGAAGAAACATAGGAAAACAATTATGAAATAATTATAAAACAATTCCAGCATTCATTCTTCCTAGAAAGCAGTGAATATAAGTAAAGGACTAATGGCATAAGTTAGATGGCAAAACATTGGTGATACATACTAAAAGATTGCATAGCAATGTATAGATGTATGGTACAGATGTAATAGATCCAGGCAACTACTACTACTATTGCTATTAATTTAATCAGGAATTAACAACATTGTATCAGTCACTTGTGAAGGGTGTTGGCTGGTTTGTGTGTCTCTGGACAAACACTGGTAAAACTTTGAAAGATAAAAACTTAAAATGTTAAATCTGTTTTGTGTGTGTCTTCTTCTAAAGTAGCTTACCTATGCCACTATGTGAATTATGCTTAATTTCTGCTTGCAAAAATAGGGTGCATGATAAAAAATGTGAATTGTGATCATTACAAAAAATAGAGTGCTCAAGCTCCACCCTTACTAAAAAACAGAAAGCTCCCTTGGGTATGAACAATATAAGTCAAATAAAATAAATAAATAAATTTTTCTATAATAATAGAAAATAACATTTTAGAAACAAAGAATTTGAAGGAGAATAATTGGCAGAGTAAAATATACTCTTCTAAATACAAAAAAAAGAAAAAGGTTACATCTCTTTTAAACTGGTAACTGAAAAGGGGATGAGTTAAGACAATCCTTAGAACATACAAGAATAAACAAAATAGGATCCTGCACTGATGTATGAAAATGCACATCATTAGCATACAAAGCGAAGGTATCCCCTAACTGTCAATTTGTTAGAGCCTCAAAATCTAAAAAAAAATAGAAAACTCTGTGTCATATGAGGAAAATGCAGTGTCCACTTAGGTCAATTACCTAAATGTCATGTTAAAGCACTAAAAATAAAGAGGTGTGAATCCTCCATTTTAAGAATTAGAACAAGAATGAAGAACAATGACGATTTGGCTCAGACAGCATTCTCAAGAACAAAGGAGTTGGATGAAGACCGTGGATAAAGTGTTCCAAATGCAACACACAATAAATTTGCTCTTAATTTAGCAAAGAACATATATTTGGCATTAACTAATGTAAACAAAAGTCATGGAAGATAATGTAAGACAGAGAACAGACATTTAATGATCTAGGATGCAAAGTGAAGGTGAGAAATATGGTTACATACTTAAGATGATGGATCAAACATTTGTACACAAGACAATTCAAACACTGATGGAGAAGAGTTTACTTTAAACAGCATAGCGATTTACAACTACATCTACTTATGCGAGCATAAGATTTGTGATTTTGACCTTACACTAGTGAGATTGGAGAATAAATAAACTTTCTGCCATATGTATCTATACTTAGATGATAACAATATCAGGGGAGAATATCTTTAAAGATTTTAGTACTGCATTGAGGAGCATAGGACTAAGGTGGCTTGTATTCAAAGGACAACATCTTTAAATAGGCAGTATGTAGCAAGCACTTACATTACAGGAGATGGCATGCAGAAAATCTGTGTAATGCCATTAAAGTTTGCTAACTGAAAAGTTTTCTAAGCTTGCTGTGCACACTGCATTTTCTCAGTTGTGACAATCAAGTTGCAAAGAAAATTATCTCTACATATATGGTCACCGTAAACCTGGTTTGAAATGTAAAGCCCATTTCCACCTTTGCTGAGATATTAAAAAAAAACATATGCCAGCAATGTACACCAAGTGCACATGTGCACATGAAGCAGGCATATGAAGTTGCTGTATACGAACACAAAAACTTATATTTTTGGTTAGCTTTCCTCTTTATCTCCTCATGGAAATGGATGCAATTGTGCTTTGCAAGTAATGTGTGTATAGTACATGTGACCTCTCCGCCCACCACCCCCTATTCATTAGTATTCATACTGGAAACCCACGCCCCCCCTTCCCCGGACAGTGTATTGTGTGTAAAGGCAGAGCTGGTGTTTACTGATCACATTACAATGAATAACAGGGAGGGGGAGAGCTGTTTAGAGTCTACTTTACATCCAACCCTGGTGTCTGACTGAATTTCCTGTGGAGAAAATTTAGAAAATTTAGGCTTCAAGCCTAATAAAACCTTCATAAAAAAAATGAAGAAAGCCTAAAATGTGAGTCATGAAAATGTGCACACATATACATAATTACTGCACCTCTACATTACCACAATAATGATAATTGCTTACAAAGGTGGAAATGGACTTTAAAATCCTGACAAAGTGGCCAGAAAAAATTAGACCTTTGGCATGCACAAACACATGTATCACTAATCAGTGGTACTTGCAACCAGTCACATTAAATATATGCAGATGATAGATCACTTGGACTAATACAACTCCCATTTGTAAAAGTAAAACAGGAATCATAGAATCATGAATGTTAAGGAAGCCAAAGAAAATTATTTAAATCTATTGGCTTCGTTATGCAAAATTATTTTTATGTGCAGATATACCGAACAGTTTAGTGCAGCAGTATGACCAAGTATGCATATGTGTGTGATAGCGTATGTGTTATATATATTTAAACATTAAAAAGGTGACACCATGCTTAAAGGAGAATTATGGGAAGAGAGAAATACACTCTTCTCTTAATTAGAGCTGGTGTGTGACACTGAAGCTGTCACACGTCGGCTCTATAGATCTGGAAATGAGCAATTACATACCGCTAATCGCTCAGTTCCCAATTTTCTCCCTGTAGAGTCAGTCACCGCTCTCTGCTGGGATTCCCCCCTCCATTCTCCATTCCTCCAGCGCTGACTGGAGGGACAAATGGGGGAGGTGGCGGGCACAGCTGGTTCTGTCTCTAGGGAGGCAGAGCCAGCTGTCAATCAGCCAGTGGGCTGGATCCTGGCAATATTGTCGGGATGGGATCTGTCCCGACTGCAGCGTGGCCCTGCTCTGTCATTTATTGTAAGTTTGAGGTCAGTTTGTGTTTTTTTTATTTCTATATACAAGTCATTTGGGTTGATTTGCTTAAGATGTAGGTCATATTCACTTAGCAAAGTGAAGTTTTACTTATTTTAATGAATAGGGAAAAATTTGGGAAAATGAATAGGGACTTCATCATTTATGGGACATCGCTGTGGAGGCACACAAAGAAAGCGCTGGGCAGCCCGCTGACATACTAATGAGCTTTTGGCTGTGAGCTTACATCCATCTATATGTAGTGAGTGCGCACTCATAAGGGGGTGTTTGTGTGGCACAAGGCGATTTGTGGAACAACTATGAAGCACTTTGGGACTTTTTATTTATCCATTCATTTACTTATTCATTTTTGCACTTTATTGAATAAATTTTCATGGAATATTAATTTATCACTTTGGGTGTGATATGACTTTTTTACTTCTTCACAAGGAGTACATAATGTTATTCACAAATATATGATTATGGTATGAAATATTTTTTCACATTTATGTCACATTTTGTTATCAATATACACTACCTGGTATTAATTGATTTGATCAATAAATTATCTTAATCTGATCACTTATTCTTTCCAAAATGAATTTTCACTTAGGGGTCTATTCACAAAGCTGCCGAAGGATCTGGCCGTAGCTTCGGCCGATCCTTCGGCTAGCTTCGGCACCAGGACCCCTTCGGTTTCCGGAGAACCGAGGGGGTGCTGTACGGCAATTCACAATAGCCCGTACAGCTCCCGATCACGGCCGAGATCATTTGCTAACCAAGGTGAAAATTCACTTTGCATGTTCTTTTCTTTCAGTAAATTAACCCCAAGAATGTGAATGCATGGTAAATTCATAAAACATAGCAAACAAATGGTAGACAAATCTAAAATACATGTCAAATACCTATGCATACTTACCCATAAAAGCAACAGTTAAATCATCCTTTTACTCCATTTGACCATAGGCAGCACTTCTAACTAGATGCATCGCAATTTTATTTATCACAAGGTAAAATGATACTTATGTACTATATAACATATTTACCATTCTGGGTGCTTTGAGATGTCTGCCCAGGTAGTATTCCTCCGATCTGAACTGTAAGAACATTAAAACCTCCGAAATCTTGAGTGGCATGATGAACATCTCGGCTGTGTGCATGGTCTAATGACAAACTAGTAGTGGATCCATTTTTCTCCATAAGAAGAGTATGCCAGCGACCATCAGCCACATACATCTCTGGGATATTTCGCTCTACTTTTCCTGCAATACCAGCATCTGATGTGTAATGGAGTTTTCCATTTTTTAACTGCAATGTAAAAGTGAAATATATCATATGAGTAAATATAATGACTAACAAAGCAAATTTGGAGTTTCATATGAACTTAAGAATAAATTAGTCAAGACAAAAAAGGCAAGCTGCCATGATTGACCATTTAAAGGGGTGTGATCTGGGACTGTCCAGTCCATCGATTCATTAAAAACAAGGAGAAGGAAAAAACCCATGAATCATGTAACTTTAAACAAGAAAGCAAAAGCAGCTCCTGTATAACCCCGAGAAATATTTTTCAAAACTAGAAATTACTTTTTCATCTTCCTTATTCTGGATTACAAATCAGCCTTGGTTATAGTGCCCCCTCACTTTAGACCAATCTTCCTGGCACTGTAGTTTTAAAGTATATTTTAATGTATTTACCTAAGTTCCTTTCCCATGATAAATTCAAATTAGGAATGGATAAATAGGGCAATTAGGATTGGAGATATAAGACATATGCTCAAACCTCCTATAAAATCCCACATTTTGGAAAAAAAACCCTTTCATACTGAACCACAAAACCCCCTTTCAGCCATAAGATAAATACATATGCAACACAGTGATATAAAAGTGTGACTAAAGTGCTGTAGCCATTTACGAGTCCAATAACCTATTTCTATGTGCTTTATATTCATCTTATATAACTGAAATGACCTTTAATTGGTCTACTGTGTTTCCACTAGGTTTGGATCACAGAGCATTCTATAGGAGAAAGAAACCTATGTTAAGTTGATAATTGTCTGGGTTACCTAATAAAAATATAATCTGTTAAACCAACTGAAGTTAAAAGATGGCAAACACTTAAGATGTTTTCCATTTCTCTAGGGCACAGTACATACTGTGAAAGTTACACAGCGATAGCCTATTTATGAGACATTAAAAATATTCAGTTTTTTGTTAAGGAATAATTTCACCTATTTGAAGAGGTAGTGTAGCTGGAAAGCAGGTGGTGCTAAAGATGAGAGGAAAAGTGATTTTAATTTTAGATTGGTATATTTTAAACATTTAATTATATTGGAAATAGGTTACCTCCACCACTGTATGCCCCTTCAAAGTAATGTTAGCTTTCCTATATCTGCTTTTTCATCCACAAAAGCATTGGGAACTGGTATCTCAGAAATATAACACTTTCAAGTCTCAATATATAGAGAATTATAAGAACCAGGGAGGGATAAACTCCTAGAATTAATTACCAGCAATTGTAATGGTCCCTTTTTAGAGATGCCCCTGTCTGGTTAAATAAACTTACTATATTCTATATTTAATTTTTTTATTTAAATTACATTAAAATAAAAACATTTATCTCAACACCAACATTGTAACAAACATTTAAAATCACTTAAAATAAAGCCTGTAACACATGCTTAATTTCGCTTCTCAAATTCTCACATTTATTTTAGGGCTGCAATGATTGCACTCATAGAAAGGTACAGCACATTCATCAGGCATTGCACATACACTTTTCATGTATACTTTCCTGTAATGCAAACAAACACTTATAGCTTATTCAAGCAACCGGATGGGCAAGAGTGTTATATACTGTATATTTAACCACTTCCAATCCAGTGGCCATACATAGATGGCCGGACAGGAGCCTTTTAGATGCAGGTGGGTGCTTTAAAGCAAGCACCTAGGCATGCGGATGACTTCTACAAACATTTGTGAAAGAATGGGTCTCTCTCAGGAGCTCAGTGAATTCAAGTGTGGTGCCGTCATAGGTTGCCACCTGTGCAATAATTCTATCCGTTAAAATTTCCTTGCTACTAAATATTCCACGGTCAACTGTTAGTGGTATTGTAAAAAAGTGGAAGCAACTGGGAACAACAGCAAATCAGGCACAAAGTGGTAGGCCAGGTAAAATGACCGAGCGGGATCAGCGCATGCTGAATCGCACAGTGCGCAGAAGTCGCCAACTGTCTGCAGAGTCAATAGCTACCAACCTCCAAACTTCATGTGGCCTTCAGATTGGCACAACAACAGTGCGTAGAGAGCTTCATGGAATGGGTTTCATTGGCCGAGCAGCTGCATCCAAGACTTACATCACCAAGTGCAATGCAAAGCGTCAGATGCAGTGGTTTAAAGCACGACGCCACTGGACTCTAGAGAAGTGGAGACGTGTTCTCTGGAGTGACGAATCACGCTTCTCTGTATGGCAATCCGATGGACACATCTGGGTTTGGCGGTTGCCAGGAGAACGGTACTTGCTTAACTGCATTGTGCCAAGTGTACAGTTTGGTGGAGGGGCGATTATGGTGTAGGGTTGTTTTTCAGAGGTTGGGCTTGGCCCCTTAGTTCCAGTGAAGGGAACTCTTAAGGCATCAGCATACCAAGACATTTTGGACAATTTCATGCTCCCAACTTTGTGAGAACAATTTGGGGATAAAGTCCAAAAATTTGCATGTGAACAGTTTGGGGATGGCCCCTTCCTGTTCCAACATGACTGTGCACCAGTGCACAAAGCAAGGCCCATAAAGACATGGATGAGCGAGTTTGGGATGGAAGAACTTGACTGGCCTGCACAAAGTCCTGACCTCAACCCGATAGAACACCTTTGGGATGAATTAGATCAGAGACTGCGAGCCCAAGGCCTTCTCGTCCAACATCAGTACGTGACCTCACAAATGCGCTTCTGGAAGAATGGTCAAACATTCCCATAGACACACTTCTAAACCTTGTGGACAACCGGGAAGCTTCATCAAAATGCAGATTCTCTCTGCCGAGCCCATAGTCTTGGCTCCACTGTTGCCTCCGCCGCCTCATGTGTTTGCCCTTTCAATAAACTGTGTTTCCTTGACTTACCTGGACTACAGTGGAGTGTCCTTGTTACAATATATATATGTGTATATAAAAACCTTAGAGGGCCTATTGCCAGCATCACTACTGTGTATTTTAAGTTATTACAGGCTTGACTGAGCCACAGCCAGGGATTAAACTTATCAGGTTCTTTTCAGGAGATGGTAATTTATACAGTGCTGTGCTTTTTTATATTATGAGGAGAAACATGGGGACATTTTTTCTGGCTTACACATACATTCTGATGTCTGTAACTAGTTTGCAATCTTTAAACAAATAAAAATTAGATATGGCATGCTCTTCACAATTCATGGATTATAATAGCAGGAATACTCTTCACAGTTTAACTTGTCATAGCCTATTAATACTAGTTCACAACAATTTAACACCATTGTTCAAACAGGCAAAAAAAAGAAGATAACATTGGAAAGGGAAGCATCTCCTATAAACCAAATGCTTAAACTATGGCCTGAAATAACTTACATATTAAATAAACAAATTAATAAATACAATCGGTTTTTCCTAGAGCAAATTAGACTTATAGCAGTTAATATATTGAACATGTTTTTTCAGACACTTGCTTGGGCAAACATTATACTATTCATGTACTGATATAAACTATATTTATTGTGCAGAGGTGTTTTTTGTGTTCTACTATGTGAAATGACTAATAATAATAATAATAAGAACGGCTTTGATATCCACATCAATAGATAAAGAAAAACTTTATAGAGGATTGTCACCGGAATTCGACTATGTGATCTTTTGTGATGTCACTTTTAATGTGATATTTCAAAACAGATGTTATGAAATTGAACAACCATGGAACTCACATCTACTATGAAACCTCTAAATTGCCATAATTAAAGCCTATCTAGTAGGCAGAGAAGCTGCACATAAAAGTTTAGAAGATAGAAACCTGGGAGCAATTGTATATAGCAGTCCAATAGTTGCAGTATGTCAGTAGTTAGAGTATGTCAATAGTTGCAGTATGTCATCTTTCAAACTACAAGTATGAAATGGATTATACATATCTTCTTCACAGAAGATCTCAGGTTATGGGTCAATTAAAGGACATGGCCACCACCATAGTGAAGGTGATGAAGCTGATTCAAACATATGCTAATATTATATACAGTTTCAGCCACCAACACTGTCCTTCAGTGGACAACAGAAGGGTCATGGCTTGTAATTGGAGTATGCGGTAGAAAAAGGAGCTTAAAACAGAAATAATAAGTATAATTAGCCAATGATAAACATAAGTGGATACAGGACAGAAGACTTCATAAGAAATGATAATAAATGTATATCTAAGTAGGCATTTGGTTACAGTATCTATGAATTTTTAGACTGAAATTGCAATATCTATCTTGTTTCCTGGAAGTCAATGGTTTATCTGAATTTGTATAAATATTACAGCAAAGTAAGCTACTTATCTTAGTAATGTACAAAATGAATGTGCATGCAAAATACATATTTGAAATACATACCTTTACAGCTGTGTAATTGCTGATTTCGTGAATTTGAAGTAAAAGCCCATTTTCACTTCTTGTTCGGAATTTTATCTCTAGGTGATTGGGGTATGTTGATTCAGTATCCACACTACGATGCTGTAAAAGATATTCACGTTTCTTGTTTTGGCTGATGGCATATTCAAGGTAACCTCTGCCTTCGAGTGATAGGGCGGTGTCTGCAGTCATATCTACAAAGTCCACAGGACAGAAGAACAGATTAGCTCCTCATAAATTATGAAATGGTAAAAAAAAACTGAATTCACTGTAAAATAAATACATGTCAATGATGTATATCCAAGATGAATGGATGAAACCAGAAATAAGTTTGAGAGGTGAGAAGTAATCAGCTTTTTTTAGTCTGTTTCTAAAATTTTGATTCATACTGAATCCTGCATTCTTATGCTAATTGGAATTTTTTACCTAAAGCAGAATGTCTTTCATTAGTAACAAGATAAAGATAAATAGTCAATTAAAAAAACAAAATAACAAAACCAGCTTTTGCTGCAATATTCAGCTTCAAGCCAGAGATTGTACTGCTGCTTCCTCTCACACTCCAGCCCTGCTTTACAGGGACTGCAAGAGACTGATACCAAGTCAGATTTAGGTACTTGCATTGCTTGCATTTAAAAACTACATTTAATTATGTATTTGAGATTACAAAGCTGCATTACTTTGCATTTTTTATATCTGCCTAGAGTTCAGCTTTAAGACCTGGGAAATTGCCTTACTGACTTCAACCCTGCTGTGTGTTCCCTACATGCATATATTACATAGTTACATAGTATTTGAGGTTGAATAAAGACATTAGTCCATCAAGTCCAACCTATTAGGATCTCATTCTAGGAGTACCCGTACCCCTGTATATTACGGTCCCTTAAGAAATCGTCCAAAAGTTTCTTGAACAATTCCAAATTGAAATAAAGCTGTGGCTTGTAACAAAAAGCACTGCTTCTCAACCATGGTCATCCCATGTCATGACTGCACCTAGGTGGGGGAGAGATATGACACTGGTCTCCTGGACAGCAAGCCTTCCCCATTACATAGGATCCTATACGGAACAAATTAAGCCATGTTCCACTCTTCCCAACACAGAGAAAACCTTTCTAAGGGGTCAAAACATTACAGCAGGCAGCACTTTTTTGTTTATTGCGGTACAAATTTCTACCAAAAATACACATAAATGTAATGAAATTCAGACCCTAGTTATGTTTTATGCCAAAATGGAAGAACATAAAAGATGAAGATCTACAAGTTTTCTTGTTAAATAGTTCTCAAAGTCCCATCTTTTAATAAGCCTGCAAGTCTTGTGTAAATTCTAGTACCAGATCTGAAAAAGGAACAGAAACACCTGTACTATGCATGATAACACCTAAGCAAGAACCGCATAAAACCAGCACATAAAATGCATGACTATATAGTGTGGGCCTTTGGCCTATTTTTCCAGTGAAGTAAGGTTATTATAAAGCAATGTAAAACTTAACATACACTTTTCACAGTACTTTCCAGTAAAGCCATCTTTACAGTTACACTGTTGCCAGAACCAATTATCGACACAGGTTCCTCCATTTTGGCAAGAACTCGTAGTACAGGCTCCTTCTAATCTTGGACACCTAGACACACAAAGGGGCAGAAGAAAAGTAGCTTTAGATATTGAGTGCTCTGTATAAAGGTGACAGCTTTACCACGCGCTTTCCTAATATACCATATGATTTTTAAATTGCCAGAAAGGTGACAATGATTCAAAGATGATATTTCCATGTGGAATATTTTGCATCTTGTAATTTTAAATATAGACATGTGTCTTGTAATCTGTGTACAAGAAAAAAGATCTCATCCTTATTTGTCTGCGATTTCAGTGCATGCAGTTCCACTGTACAAGTGACTTATGTTGTACACTTCTACTACACTTCTAAAGCTTCTCAGCTGTCTCATGTCCCTCAAATAGTTTATGTTTCAGGGATATTCTTTAAGAGGACACATGGAAGGACTGGTGACCCTGTTCCTTCACCTGCACATAATTAAGGAAATCGGAAAGCTTGACACGTGGGATAACTAGTGACCCTGTAAATTCACCTGCACATGACTCAGGAAATCTCCCTGTATGACCTGCTGCAGAGCAGCGAAATCCCTTGAAAGAACAAACAACCAACTAATTACTGATAAAACAGCTGCAGCATTGTACCGCTGCCCAGAACAACAGCAGTTGTTTAAGCAATAAGATTGACACGCTATTTGACTATATTTTTGTGTATACTGTATATACAAAAAATATATAATACCGTCACAAATTTAACAATACCCAGTGGTGTACAGTGGTTCTGGATGCAAAACTGGCCCAGGGGTAAAATCATTCCGATTTTGTGTGTGTACTGTGCATAAGAAATAAGTGACATTGACATTTGGTAATTATTATACAAAACTCATACAAGTCTGAAATTCTAACCATTGGAATAAATACAGAATTCTACTATTTACTCTTTCAGCTAAACAAAATAATATTTAATATACACTGCATACAATGAACTATAGTGGAGGTCAGATGAAGATATACATGGGGGAATTTATCAAAACTGGAGCAGACAAATTCTGGAGCAGTTGCCCATGGCAACCAATCAGCTTCTCTCTCTCATTTTCAAATCTTACCTGAGCAAACTGAAGAGAGAAGCTGATTGGTTGCCACGGGCAACTGCTCCAGAATGTGTCTGCTCCAGTTTTGATAAATTCCCCTCACAGTATTTTATATTGTATAACATTCAGTACAGTATGTAAGTTAATCTAACCTCCAGTGTTTTTGATCAATTGTAATTTTTTAAATCACAAAAAACCCACATTTTGATTTTAAGTGTATTTTGAAACAGCTGTTAACTTTAAACTACTGACTTATTGTATGGGATTGAAAATTGGACATTACCCGGGAGCGCTACTATATATGGATACTTTTAAAGCTGACCTAAACCAAAAAAATGAAACAGACTCCTTTCCCTATACCTGCTTACCTAAACTAATCCAAACACAGCTGAAATACTTGTCTTTCATGGGTACTGGGGGTCCATGATTTCTAGACAGAACTGTGTTGAGGGTCAGGATCTGTGCAGAGGCACTGAACACGCTGCTCACTTGGTGATAGCTAATCAGTGGGGTTGATTTTCTAAAGGCAAATAAGCTATTCACTTTGCAAGAAAATGTGTACTTTGGAGGGGAAGTTTCCTCTTAGCTTAGTGAATGAGGTGGCGCTCTGTTGACTTCCATTACCCAATCATGAGCAAGCAATAATACATTATTTTATTTTCCTTGAACCTGATTGGATATTCTTTACCAAGTTAACTCAAGATTTCCCCGCAGATTCCCTTGCAAAGTGAACAGCCTACTTGCTTTTAGTAACTCATCCTCAGTGTCTCTTCCTGCACAAATGTATTCTTCCCCACACACAACTCTGTTTAAGAAACATCAACTCACTGGCAGGGGTGTCCATAACATAATCACTGCCTGAGGCAGCCAGTGGTCACATTGCAGGGACAGCGGGAGGTTGGGCAGTGTCCGTGGTCACGTCCCAGACCGGGAGGGGGTATGTGTATGGCTCTTACACATCTATTCCCCCGCCTCCTAGCAACCTCTGATGGTCTGGCCAGAAAGGCAGAACCTGCTGCCACCGCGTGACCCAGAGAGATGCCGCCTAAGGCATCATTATAGGGACAGCCCTGCTCACTGGTAATCATAAGAAGACCAAAGCTCCTACAGCAAGTATTGAAATGACAATTTCATTAGATTAGGGAGCAGAAGCTACGAGGACACAAAGTTTCACTTTGGATTTAGGTCAGCTTTAAGAATAACATATGAGAAAGGTAAATTTGGCTCGAGCTTCAGCCCTATACTGTCTTGATAGAGCTCTACTTCATACAAATGTTAACACACACATTTTTTACTTTACTTTTTAGATTATCCTGCATCTGTATTAAACATTAATAGAAATATGTATGGTTTTATCAGAGTAACTGTATTTCATTGTCTTGGATAAAAAAAAATATATGATTTAAAATAAGACTTCAAAGAAATAAAATTGTGTCATTATGTTATCATATTGCTTGGAGTGCAAGACATACCTATCTAGAATTCCTTGTGCTGACAAAGCTTGGCTGGGTTCTAGAGGACGCCCATTCACTGCAAATTCCATTATACAACCTACAAAGTCATGGCTTTGTACTTGTCCTTTCCTTTGTAGTATTGGTTCCAGGGATCTGATACCTCCTACTGTTATTCTGTTTGGCTGAACATCCAGAGTCCTGTTCCAAGAAATAAGAATCATTGCAAAGCGAATTATTTTTTTTTAGCAATGATGATTATAGCATAAATCATCTTTGCTTTTTTGTCTAGACTCAACAGAAGATACGCATACTTATACCACATGCTTTAATGTTATTTTCAAATAGATAGAAGCAGCTTAACATTAGGTTTGTAGGTTACAGTGGCTTAATATGAATATCTAGGTCATGCAATAGACCAAAGTTCCCCTTTAAAATACTTTGAAGAAAAGGCATACAGGAAAACATGCACGGGAAAGAAAGAAAGAAATAAAAAAAAGAAAGAAAGAGAAAGAAAGAAAGAAAGAAAGAAAGAAAGAGGGAGGAAGTAAGGGCAGGCAGGCACTTTACACAGCAATTTTTTTTAGCGACACAGGCTGAGCCATTGGTGTAGTGCTGGTTTATGATACATGCCCCTGTGTATGAGGCAATAAACTGAAGGTTTACAAACACTGCAGAATAAAAGAGGATGGCTTGCTTATAGCAATCTATCAGATTTACAATTTTACTGTAATTATTTGCTGTAGACAATGCTTAGTAAACCCAAGTGCCACAACCAGAATTATGGGATCTCTGGTGTTGGTAATTTTGGTTATTGCTGTTGTAATATCTGGTAAGAGATGGTGAACTATAGTTAACCTTGGTGAAAATATTCAGGAGCAGTCAGCATGGCAGTACTTGCAGATGTCTAGGTATGTTAAGTTATCATTATGCGCGGCAGGTCTGCATTTGTACTTCCAATACTCTTTACCTTTATAAAGTCGACCCACAGCATCAGATTGATATATGCATATTATAATCTAAACAACGGGTACATGTAAAACTCTAATAATTCTACTTAAAAGTCTTTAAACACAATAGAGGAGCACTACACTTGCCCAGTAAGCCTCTAAAGATTTTGCTCATCAAGGGGAAACCAAGGGGGAAACACAAAAATGTTTAGTGACTTCACTTTTGAAACATGTTTAAGTATAATATGTTATGGACTTAGAAATAAATCTTATTGAAAGTATCTGCTAGATGTCCAGTGGCTAATATCTGGAATCCCACTGTAGAAGACATCTACTGCCATAGTAGGAATATGTATGTTCTCTAAAATGAATGAGTAATATAGTAAAATGTACATGGAGTGGAGTGCAATCAGGTAGGAAGTTGAAGTCAGAATGTCTGCAGCATATCATTATTAAGTAACTGTGTCTACAGGGAATGTCTTGTGAAATTTAAAAGAATTTTCATTGGAAAAAGTGACAGTCGGTGGATGACGTTTTCACTTATTAACAGTTTTACAGAGGGATCAGGTTTGCTAGACATGTTGAAATAGCCATACAACAGAATCAACAGAAACAGAAAAATCCCCCTCTGGTTTAATAATCAAATGTGTTTTTCAAGGCTAAATCAAATTGCACTGTCCCATCTGGCATTGTTGTAAACGGTTAGAAATTTACCAGTCACTGGAAACAGCCGTGGTACTGACGGTACAAAATCCCGGTTCCTGGTCCTCGGAGCAAGTGTCAACTGTCAGTGACGCCGCCTGCAATACATTTTCATATTTAAGATGAAAATCCCAGCCTTGTTGTAAAACATTATACAGCAGTATTAAGTTATTTAAATCATTATATTTGAAAAAAAAAATCCTTCCCATCCATACGAATAAAATTAGAAATGGATAGCAATATGGAAAAAATAGGGTCAGTTTTCTAACTAACCTATTTTTGGAACTGTTGGAATTACTGCTTCAATCCTATAGCTGTCAAGGGAGCATGAACACAATATGGTAGTATCAAGAGTAGATGCAGTTGGAAAGGGTGTGGGAAATGATAGGATACTCTACAACTTAGCACAGCTGTTGGCTTACAAAGCCTAGTACAGCAGTAAATGGAAAGACATAACAAGTAAGCACAACGGGAAGAAGGATTAACACCAAACCTGCAAACGCTTTAAAGACTCAGTACAGGTTATTAAAATATCAGAAATAACCCCTTAACCTCATGGGCGGAAAACACCCATCATTTCAGCATTGGCATAAAATGTCCTCCCTTTGCTAAATGATACAGATATTTAACTTTATTCAACGCTGCACACCTGCTGCAGACTGTAAAGTGACAGTAATACCGAAGGGTGCTATATGTCAAGGTAAAGAGTAATGTTGTTCTACTATTGCTTAATGGAAAGAAACGTGCTTGCAGTTTAATTAAAATATCCAAATATACAAGACACAAATAATGCAGCTCTGTATATATTATCGCACCTTAAAAGTATTTTGTAAATGCAAGCAGGGTAAGTACATGAATTTTACTTGTTATCAGCCTCTTATAGCAGAGTTCACACTGGGGAAGGAAGAAGCAACGCAAGGTGCCAGTCAGTGTTTATCAGAGCATGCTGATAGGAGGAAAGAGCAGAATGACAGAGAGATAAGCTCTTCAGTGTGTTGTTTCTCCATTTACTGTCTAGTTATGGGTTGGGGAGAAGACCTGTAGGTGTTCCTAAACTGAAGCAGACAAAAAGCAGGTATTCTGCCCTGTGTTGTGTGGCAGAGCTGCGCAGATCTCAGGACTAGATGGACAGAAAAACATATCCTTTGGCAGGTAAAACAGCTCCCTTAATGTATTTCATGTTTGTATGTAGCTGTTTGCCTGTAGTTTAGTTTTAACATTTCAATTATGTGCAGTGTGTGCACGTAATGTTAATGAATAATTCACATCAATGATTGTTTTACATCAGTCTTTTGCTGCAACACAAGCTATGGCACCTTTTCTGCAAAATATATGGATATACAGTTCATCTGCTGGTTCAAAAATAGATTCAAAATACAATATTCCAAGCTCAATGTTTTCACCTGAAGAAAAAATAAAAAAATCTATAATAATGGGTTTCATACCACCTCATGAGTAAAGGAAAATAAAGAAAGCATTAAATGGAAATG